ATACAGGCGCTCTGTCTTATATTCAATATACTGGATGTCCAACAGACCGGTTCCCTAACGGATAGGTTCTATGCGGTGCTCTACCGGCACTTATTGGACGTACAGCTGGAGTACTGTTCCCGTCGGGCGATGCTTTTGAATCTGGTGTATAGGGCTATGAAAAGGGATCCCGTCTTAAGGCGTGTCAAAGCGTTCGTCAAACGGCTATTACAGGTATGTATGCCTTTCCCCTCATGAGGGAAATTGTGTTCACTGGACGGGTAGTCGTAATCTATATGTTATGTGTTTAGGTGGCGGTAACCCAGTCGTCATCAGTGGCCACATCTATACTCATATTGATATCAGAAGTGATTCACTCGAAACCCGGACTAGTATTGAACAAAGAGGTGATGGAACAGACGGTTGTGACTAATAATACCGGCGCTGACGAGTCAGACGACGAGCACTACGAAGACGTGCCACTGAGTGATGAAGAGGGAGAGACAGTGGCGGACAGTCAGCCGAGCACTGGTAGTGACAACAAAAAGGCGAGCGTTTCATGGGTTCACACCAAGAATATCGACACCAATCGGCCGAAGAGCTCGTATTACGACCCGTCGGCCCGCAATCCGCTGTTTGCCTGCGCGGAGACGACAGCCCTCTGGGAACTGGATGTCATGGGACGACACTTCCATCCGTCGACCCAAATGTTCGCCCAAAAGATTGTCAATAACGAGAGGATTGACTATTCGGGCGATCCTTTGGTCGACTTTTCTGTGAAACAGTTTTTGAATCGATTTGTGTTCAGAAATCCCAAGAAAATGGATAAACGAGTGAAAAAGTCGACGCGAGAGAGTCGAGTGTTCGGCCGAATACCGGCGCCAACCACTGGCGATACCGGTGCTGTCGTGGCCGACATTACCAGCAAAGACTACGTGAACCAATCGGAAAGTCGTGTACCCGTGGATGAGCTCTTTATATACAATTATCTGAGACAAAGACAATCGATGGCCTCCGCGGCCAAAGGGGACGACTCGGACGCCGAGAGTGTGACGAGCGTTGAGTTCGAGTCGCTATTGGATCGCTTGGAACCCATGTCTAAAAGGGAACGGGATTTGGATTTTCATAAGGATTTCTCTAAGAAGTCCTCTAAGAGTAAGAGAGATGACGACGACTCGGCCGATGAGGGCTCGGATGGGGACAGTAGTGCCGATGAGGACGAGTTCGGCGACGACTCGGCCGCTGACGACGAGGACATGGAGTTCGATGCGGACGACCCGGACTTTGCCGACGCCTTCGATGGTATCGATGAGGACTTGGAGGAGGCGTTTGGCGATGAGGACGACGACGGGTCAGGGGATGAGGACAGGGATGGTGCGCCTGCGAAGCGACCCAAACGTAACAAAAAAGGCTTCGATAGCGTGACTAACAGTGTGTTCGCGTCGGCCGACGAGTTCGCGGAGCTCCTGGAGGACAATGAGTCCGATAGTGATATATCAGGCGCTGAGGAGTCGGCTAAAGGTGTCGGTGCGAAAGGGAAGGGTAAGGCCGACAGAAAGGCCGAGTTTAGGGCTAAGAGAAAGTTGGGTCGAAATCACAGCAAAAATAAAAAGCGGAAAAAAGTGAATCCAAAGGATTTGTTGTAATGTTTTTCGCTTTAAATTTATTTTTTTGTAATGAGTTTTGGATTTATATCGAAATAAATGTTATTTTTATTTGAATTGTGTTTTGATTTGTATTTAATTTTTAAGATCAACGTTATATACAATTAAAATTAAATTATATTATTTAAAAGCTATTTATTTTGGGCCAAACTTATAGTGGTCTCCCATTGCTTCAGAGCTACCCGTCCTCTCGTTAATTGCATTTTAATAATATCCTGAAAAATAGTAAAATACTTAAATTTCCATATAAATATTAGGTTTAAAAATTAAATCTTGATGATTAATTCAAAGTTAAGTAAATAAAGATTCTTTATTTTAATCAAGAATTTAATTCTTATATTTGTTTAAATAAATGTATAGTTAAATGATAAGTGGAAATTTATTTTTTATATAATAAAACATGAGTTTATTATTTTGTTTTGGTTTTACTTGTTAGTAAAGTTTAATAGGGATTTAAGTAGTGACGGTAATCAAGGTCTGTTTTTCAATTCTGGTTACACTGGATATTTTGTGAGCCCTTCACAGCATATATATACAATTAATTAGGAATATTCTTGTAATGAATTCTTATAATTAATTAATTCCTTAATATAGGTATAGATGTTTGTAACTTAACAAAAGTACTGTCAATTATATAACTCCCTCTCCATGTGCCCAACAAATGCCGTTTCTATTATTCTTAATGTAATTCCCTTTCCTTTATATAAATATAAAACTCGGGGATTAAAATTTAGACAAAAAAGTCTCTCTCAGTCTCTCTCTCTCTCTCTCTCTCTCTCTCTGAGTAATTGTTTTTTCCGAGGATTAAAATCCCAAATTACAGTTAAAACAAAAGCAAAGTTTTTTCATAAAAAATTAAAATTACAGATAAATGTATTGATTGGGAAAAAACAAGGGCACCGGTAGGCATACCATACGGCACAGACCTGTTGTTTGTGATGCATATTCGTGCGGAACTCATGCCTAATCCAATCCCTAAGCTCTTTATGATTATCCGTACGTCTAATGAGTTTCATGAAGTCTTTGTACAGTCTTAGCGTTTGCTGTCTTAAGAGGAACTGTAGTTTATTTTGGATACAAAACACGAGAGAAAATCATAAATAAATTAATTACAAAAAACAAATAATTTATTTCAAAAACATTTTGGGATTAGATTTAATGAATAGAGAAACGTATTGTGTGTTCGCAAAGCAATTAAAAACCTTTAATTAACCTGGATCCATTGTATAATCCAGGTATTAATGCAAAAGTTGCTGGACAAGTTCGTATACTTATATAATATAAATGTCCCATTATCTATCGATAATTATATCAATCGGGTCTTACTATTGTTAATTTATTGAGCTAGCACATTATTTATAGCATTTGATAAGCTAGGTAGGCTAGGAGTAATTAAAAATATAACCTTGGTACAATTAAACATACCTGAGATAGTGTTAAGGCATTTGACGGCAATCTACGGCCCATTTATTATTGTTTGAAAACTTTTTAATTAATATTTATATTAATTACTTGCAATTACTTATTACTAATAGTATGCACACGTGTAGAAGTTGTTTATTTGACCATGTATATTAATTTGGTAAGCAATTTATTAGCTTAAATTAAATGTCAAACTAAAATATTACACATCAATTGGCATGGTGTGTGCCTGGATAATTTTGACATTAATAAATACTAATCTCATGTACACACATATTTAACAAATTGATTTTTAATAATACAATACTGTTTATATTAATTTTCACAAAAAATACACAAATATTTTCATAAATTGCTTGTTAAATAAATTTGTTATGTTTTCATTGCTTACGTCAAACGGCACTGGTATTCACAGCACCGGCAGCTTTTTCTACCGACTGTACAATAGATTACGTTGAATATTATTAATATCATACTGTATAATATATTATGTAGTATTGTATGTATGTATCTAGGAAATTCTGTTTTCAAATTCTTGCAAATATTTGTTTCATTTTTTTAGAAATTCTTACCAGAATAATCTAATAATATATTATGTCTAGACTTACGACACGGGATATGCAGTATTAATGACCAGGGTTAAATAGCTACAGTACTATTAATGTATAAGTTCGCTATTTAATTAATAAACTTTGATATAGTAATATACCTTTATTATGTATAGTTACAGTATATACTATATAGCCAATTACAGAATTTAATTTACTTAAATAAGCGGTGAAATAGTAAGTAGGTGGGAAAGGGTATTAAATTTCACAAACACAACACAAAACATGAATAGACTACCTGAGCCATGGGAACTACATTGAACTTAAATTTCATATGATTTATTAAACTGAATAATATGTCAGCAAATGTTTGTATAAAATAAACTGTTTTTCGCGTCGACTGTATGAGCCGTCACTGTGTGGGTGTCTTATGTGTCAGAAAATGACAAAAACACAAAAACACCAATATATTTGACAAATACCTGTGTGTTTGCGAAAGTAAATAAATAATTATATGATGTTGTTCCCAAATGTATACATGAGCTACTATATAGATATTGTCGTAAATGTTTTTTATTCATACGGTAATACAGTTTAAGGCGTAAGAAATTGCAGAATATTCTTTCAGTTCAATACTCTCTCTCTCTCTCTCTCTCTCTCTCTCTCTCTCTCTCTGCCGAAATCCAATTACTGTAATTCACAAACACTTAGTATTTGTCAGACAATAGGGATTTTTGGTTATACTGTATATTAAAATCAATTATAATTTAAAATAAATATTGTTTTTAAGTCTGAAATTCCTAGTAATTCATGCAATATTAATATATTATGAGAAATGTTGACATGACTTGTGAAAAACAGTGTGGGTTTCATATTATTGTGATACTAGTGCCTATCACTTTAACCACTTGTTTATGCCTGGCTGCCATAAGTGCCTGGCTTTATTTGAATTAATTAATTATGAATTAGACTGGGATTTGGATGATAGGGATGTCTAGTATATGTTATTGACTTTTATTGGGTAATATTTTTTAACAAAAATCTATGAAAACATTTAGCGGTAATATGTGCTGTATTTCAGGGCTCTAATTGAGTTTACACTCAAATATTGACATTATCTCCAAGTTTTCAAGTTTAAGGTTATGTCTACACATACCGTTTATCGCATAATTGACCAGGGATCTCTCTCACCCACACACTGTTTGTGTTGTATGTATTTCATTGTAAATGTGATCATATTTGTTATTTTATAAGTACTGTAGTTGTCGGATATTTGACTTTATACCTGATTTAATTATCTTAAAATTACAAATAATATTTATGCAAATTTGCCTAGACAATAGTTATGAGTTGGATTTTATAGTTATATAAATTTTTAAATAAAACATTAATTTTTAAAAATTTAATATTTGTATACCATATTTTGTAAGTTTTCATTATAATTTACAGAATAACTATAAAATTATGTACAATAATACTGTTTATTGCATAAAATAACAGAATATTCTTTCACTTCAGTATACTCTCTCTCTCTCTCTCTCTCTCTCCCTCTCTCTCTCTCCCTCTCCCATAACTAACTCATAACTGCAAAACTCATATTTAATTGCAATAATTACTGGATTGATCCAGAATATGCATTAATATATGACATAAGTAAATGGATTTGTTGATCGTAAACACATATCAATATATGAATTAATACCACAATTATTGCATAATATGGCAGTGATTATGGCATTCATTTAGTTCTGAGATTTTATGTTTTTGTCGAGAATTACATTAAAATGTAATTAAATTAAAAGCATTTGCTGTCAATTGAGTGACATTTGCTTTATTGGATGCTTTCAAATGGCATTCAAATTAAGATGTAATCGTATTTTTCAAGGGCTGTGCCATATATGTCGTACTTCAGGCGCTGAGGAGTCGGCTAAAGGTGTCGGTGCGAAAGGGAAGGGTAAGGCCGACAGAAAGGCCGAGTTTAGGGCTAAGAGAAAGTTGGGTCGAAATCACAGCAAAAATAAAAAGCGGAAAAAAGTCAATCCAAAGGATTTGTTGTAATGTTTTTGGCTTTAAATTTATGTTTTTGTAATGAGTTTTGGATTTATATCGAAATAAATGTTATTTTTATTTGAATTGTGTTTTGATTTGTATATGATTTTTAAGATCAACGTTATATACAATTAAATTAAATTATATTATTTAAAAGCTATTTATTTTGAGCCAAACTTATAGTGGTCTCCCATTGCTTCAGAGCTACCCGTCCTCTCGTTAATTGCATTTTAATTATATCCTGAAAAATAATAATATACTTAAATTTCCATATAAATATTAGGTTTAAAAATTAAATCTTGATGATTAATTCAAAGTTAAGTAAATAAAGATTCTGTATTTTAATCAAGAATTTAATTCTTATATTTTTAAATAAATGTATAGTTAAATGAAAAGTGGAGATTTGGTTTTTTATATAATAAAACATGAGTTTATTATTTTGTTTTGGTTTTACTTGTTAGTAAAGTTTAATAGGGATTTAAGTAGTGACGGTAATCAAGGTCTGTTTTTCAATTCTGGTTACACTGGATATTT